ATTTATTAAAATTAACTATATTTTTTTCAGTGTATATATTCTTAAAATTTTATATATAAAATACGCACATAAAAGATAAATCTATAATAATTAATGATAATCAATAATATCTTTTTTATGATAATAAATTTGTATTAATTTCTAATTTGTAAGATTATGTTGTAAGTGCAAAATAACATTTACAAATGTTCGTCCAAATATAGACTTTAAATTAAATTTTTATAAAATTTATGATGTACAACCTACTTTAGATATAACTTCATACTGATCTTTATTTTGTCAATCAACTTCATTTTGAAATAAATTTTACTTATTACAATAAGACATCTTACATTAGTCTTATATGAATATTTCATTATATTAAATAATTATACATACATATTTTATAATAACTTAAATTTTATAGGAGATAGTAAATAATATAATAATTACAAAAATTGATCAAATTTGAATTTGAACATTTACCATCAGTTCAACGTCGCCGTCCTCCAAACTGCTTCCCCCCTGGGCACGATCAACAAGAATATTTAATTTCAATTGCTTCTTTTCATCTTTGAGTGTAATTTTACTGGTCACTGGATAATAATTGCCAGAAATCGGCTCCATCAATTCTAAATTCCATGTTGGTCGATAATTTCTCACACGCTTTAACATCTCTCTTCCATTGCTATCCGTGTAAAACGTTTTGTCTGTTTGTAGATTGCTGGAATACCTCGTGACTATCTCTTTACCAATCTTATCCCTAAAATAAAACAATTTATAATCAATATTCAATCAATTTTTTATATTTATTCAAATTCAGATTTTATAGTTTTTATTTATAACATTCAGAAAAATTTTATATATACATGAAAAAAAACGCTTCTGCTGAAATATTTAAATTAGAAATTAAAAATTTAGCTAGATAGATCTGAAAATAATTTTGTTAAATTATTACAACAATTATTTAGACTATTTAAGCGTCGATAATAATATTGGCAAAAGTTTTAATATTCTAGTAATCAGTTTAAGCCCTATATAATAATTTTCCAAACAAAAATTATATTCAGATCTGTAACTAAATTCTTAAATACTCCAGTAAA